GCCCATGATCCACAACTACTGAAGCCTGCATGCCTAGAGACTGTGCTCCGCAATGAGAAGCCACAGCAATGAGAAGCCCGCGCACTGCAACCAAGAGTAGCCCCCGCTAGCCGCAACTAGAGAAAGCCCGTGTGCAGCAGTGAAGACCCAACACAGCCAAAAATAAATAAATAAAATAAATAAATTTATTTAAAAAAAAAAAAAAGAAAGAAAGGGGAAGGTGTCGAGCTATAGGCTAATCTACCTTACCAATCTTGAGGATACAAGTTCAATAAGCCAAGTCTTTCTTTTAGTCAAGTCATATTGACCAGAACCAGTTACAAAGATCAAGAATCAAAGATTTTCAGGATTTCCCTGGTGGTCCAGTGATTAAGAATCCGCCTTCCAATGCAGGGGACATGGGTTTGACCCCTGGTTGGGGAACTAAGATCCCACATGCTGCGGGGCAACTAAGCCTGCACCACAACTACTGAGCCCAGGCGTGCCTCAATTGCAGAGCCCACGCACTCTGGAACCCACACACCACAACTACAGCGCCCACGTGCCGCAATGAAAGACCCCGCGTGCTGCAACGAAGACCCGACACAGCCAAAAATAAAATTTAAAAAAAATTAAAGAATCAAAGATTTTTGATTCTTGATACTCTAAGCTAAAACATTATCTTAAACTGTAATATCAGTTTAACTCTTGCTTCTTATTTTCAAGCACAGAAAAGCCATAACAATACTCAACACAGGAAAATCTCCAAACTCCCCAAGATGTGAAAAGAACTTCAGGAAATAGCCCTATTCAACAACACTCAAAATGTTACCTAGTTCAACTCCTAATCACTTAAAAGTTTTAATCCATTATCTCACATTAATTTATTGTTTTGGTTTTGGGGCAAAGCGGCATCTCTGCTAACCCCTCTCACATAGTAATCGCTTTTACTGCCAAAAGTGATTAAATCCCAACTATACTTTCACAACAGACAAAACTTTACAAATCTTCAATTCTTTTTATTTTTTTAATTGAAGCTTAGTTGATTTACAATATTACATTACAAATCTTCAATTCTTACTGAAGACAGATAAAATATTTCAAGTACTCTCATTTTTCACATCTCTGCACAAATCATTTAAACATTTGGCACTCAATTGTTACAAATACACAAATATTTCACAATTGATGTAAAAGGTTCAGTATATCCATTATTAAGCTATTTGAAAACAGCTATATCATAAGCCAAAAATATAAACACTGATTTTTTAAGTACTTCACACCCACAGCTTTTCATTACAGTTCTTCAGCTTTCCTCATATATTCAAGATATAAAGTCTTGAATTGCTTGGCTATTTTTTTTTCTTTTACAGCGTATTTGTTTTATTCTAATGGCATCCTTATTATTGTTTCACTCATGCCAAAAGCAACTTTTTAAAAAATGTCAGTTACCTGAAGAATGTATCCATCAAAACATAGTCACACAATCCATTTAAATGTTACCACACCTGTCACTTATGCACCAGGCTCAGTTTTCATTCAAACCAAATACAAAATTCCTTAATAAGGAACTCTCCTACGACTACATTGAGAAAATATTCCATACCCTTTTCCTTCTCACAAGGATGTGCATCAAAACCTGTTCAACTATTCTATACATCCAGATTAATTTCAAAAACAATGGCTTAGAAAAATTACCTTCCATGTACTCTTGGAAACTGCATGTAATTGTAAGCAATGACTACATAAGCGATATTTCTCAAAAAGAATACACTCACTGCCTCCATTTCCTCACTAAACAACTCCTTAACTTTCAGTCTGCTTTCCACCACCCTACCACTGCAACAGAAGGAAAGATACTATTTCCCCAGGTCGCCACTGACCTCCATATAATTGTCGAATCTTTCTTGTTCTCATTCTTTCACCTGTCTCTGGCATACAACACATTGTATAACTTTTTCCCTTGGCTTTTAAGACACTACACCATCTTAGTTCTTTTGTTCTCAAATCCTAAGCGGCATCCCATCTTTCTCCCACCCCTGAAACAACAAAATTGTTCAATTCTTAAGCACATTCTCTCTTCTCACAGAAATTTTATGCCCTACTGGCATCAATAATTACCTCCAACTTCAAAGCAAAAGCTAAAGACTTTGTCTCTTCAGCCTCCAGGTAACTGCCTATTAGATAGCTACACCTATAATGGAATTCATCCAAAACTGCCTCATTTGAAGATTTCCAAAATTTTCCAAGTAACCAACAGCATTTTTCAAGTGTTCCAGAGCTCAAAACCTTTAAGCCATTCTTTTAGTGCACCATTTCTTCCTATACCCATATTCAAGTAATAAAGGATTTAAGGCCTTAAATCTATGCCTTCCTTTACATTCTCTTTGCCATCAACTTTCTACAGGTACCTGAATTAAGGGTCACTGTACTTAAAGCCTCAAAGGTTCTAAGAATTTCTAAGGTATCTGTATCAACCAGGATATCAATAATTGCCTCTTCTCTACTTCACTGAAATGTCACACCCTTATTTATCTGTCTGAACTATCTTAATTATGAAACTGATGTCAAAGTGGAATGTTTAATCTTTTAGAATACTGCTTACTGCTAACTGTTAAACTCCATCAACTTCTCTTCACAAACCACCAACCATCACAAATAAATACAAGGTCTTTATTCCTTTCTGATCCCTACACTTGTCATTCTCCCAAATTGCACCTGTTTTTTTGTTTTGTTTTGTTTTTTGCCTCCAACCTCCACAGACATGTTTTCTCAACAGCATATTGAACATGACACCCATTTTCTCATTTTCTGTCCTTCAATGTAAACAGCAATTACTCTTTATTTGACATCCATAATAAGTCCATGGTGTTTTAGGGTCACTTAACGATATACTAAACAGCCCTACTTAATAGCAGCTTGAGTTCTTAAGTGTAATTTTGTAGGCTTCCTGTCACTCTTCTTAGGGTGTGCTGGTGTGCTATCAATTGCCACTTCTCAGTGTTGTGTGCCTGACCTTCCTCATAGGATGCACCTAAATTGGCAGAGGGCTTAGAGGCCAGCTCACCACGCTGATTAGAACAGCGAGTAAAATCAGAATGAAAAACTAAAGCAAAGGGAGGTGTGCTGTTTTTGTTTCTTAAACCACAGAAATCAAGTCCAACCAAACCAGTGACTAAACCCTAACATATAAAACAGATAAAAATGAAATTAAGTCCAGTGGAACCAGGCACAGGAGTTCAACGGCCCCAGTTGCATATCCATCCCTCATTCCCCATCCAGTACAAAACCCCAGCCTTATGTACCACAAATGTGGACACTATTTGACTTACCAGCTAGCACTTGGCTATATTCACAATAGCAGTACTTCACATAAGTAAAGTAGTACAGTATTGTGATTAGGAGCACAGGCTTGGAAGTCGCAAAAATTACTAGATTAAGCAACCTTGACCACTTTACTCTTTCTCAAGTCTGTGAGGAGCACCAAAGAAGATAATGTACCTCAGATGCTTAGCCTAGATCCTAATCGCTACCATAAATGGTAGCAACTATCGGATTAATGTACACTGACCACTTTCTTTTCTGTTGATTCTATTTCAAAATACTGTCAATTTATTCAAACAATTCAAATAACTTTACTGTGGTATAATGAGTAGTTCACCCTTCTTAAGTGTACAATTCAATGATTTTTAGAATTTACGAAGCTGTACGACTATCACCACGGCCAACTCTCACTCCAACACCCATTTTCTCATTTTCTGTCCTTCAATGTAAACAGCAATTACTCTTTACTTGACATCCATAATAACTCCATGGTGTTTTAGGGTCACTTAACGATATACTAAACAGCCCTACTTAATAGCAGCTTGAGTTCTTAGTGTAATTTTATAGGCTTCCTGGTCATTTCTTTGTCCTACAGATGGCTAGACCGTCAGAGTATATAAATTGGTTCATGGTAAGCTAGTTACATCCCATTACAGCTAGGATCTTTTGATAAAGTGAGATAAGCATTAGAACAATTAAACAGCTCAAACTGCCTTTAAAAAAATGAAAGTTCTTCTGTGATAATAAAATAGTAAATGGTCTACTTTAGCTAACAAGGATTTTATTCCTGTTACCAACACCTGGCTTGTTCTGTAATATACAGGGGTATTTTTTCCACCATTACCTTAGCACACCCAGTCACAAGGAATTAAAAAGGTACTAAATAGGGACTTCCCTGGTGGCGCAGTGGTTAGGAATCTGCCTGCCAATGCAGGGAACGTGGGTTCGAGCCCTGGTCCGGGAAGATCCCACATGCCGCAGAACAACTAAGCCCATGTGCCACAACTACTGAGCCTGCGCTTTAGAGCCCGCAAGCCACAACTACTGAAGCCTACACACCTAGAGCCCCGTGCTCTACAAGAGAAGCCACCGCAATGAGAAGCCTGCGCACCACAACAAAGAGTAGCCCCAGCTCGCCACAACTAGAGAAAGCCCGCGTGCAGCAACGAAGACCCAACGCAGCCAAAAATAAATATATAAATTTATTTTTTTTAAAAAAAAGGTACTAAATAAGCTAAGAATTTTTTTAAGAAGCCATCTGATCTTCAGCAATTCAAAGAAGTATTTCACCAAGTAACTGATATTATACCAGGAAATTTCTCATCAAAATAAAATGAGATCTTGATTGGAGGGGAAAAATTGAGACATTCATTAAGTTACAATAAAAAACTGCCCCAAAGAAAATGCTTAATGTGACTAAATTACATTAAGAATAACTTTGTTTCTCTTTTACTAGTTGCCACAAATAAACTACTAAGTCAAGGCCAAACAAAAGATAACAATAATATGGTAATCCAAATAACAGCAAATTCCAATAAAACTTAATTTTGAACGTTCAAAATGTTTTAACATTCCAAGTGTTTTAACAAAAGAAACAATTATAACTTCAGGAATATGCCCATAATTGATCCTACAGGAATAACCCAGGAAAAGTAAGGCTCAGACTCCCAATACCTCAAGGAAGACTTGCCCAGTACCTGGAATCAACTGGCAGTGCTTTCCTCTGTCACTCCCAACAGCATCCTCATTCCTAACTGCACTGTCTTCCCACTAGAATTAAGCACCTAGAGAACAGGGACAGTGCATTATTCATCTGTATCCCTAGCACCTAACAGTTGCTAACAAGTAGCAACAATAAATCTTTGTTCAAGTAAACACCTGTATAGTAGCATATATCATTAACAACAACAAAAAACTGTCATTCAGGTCTAATTTGGATTAACCTACATTCTGAGCATTTCAGAGAAATAAAATATCATGAGAATATACTATCTAAAAAAGTTTTTATAAATGTAATAGCTTAGCTTCATTCCCACATCAAAAAGGAACTTTCATCAGTGTTTCAAAACTTGGGGTGGGCAAAGGAGTAATAGGACACTTTCAGTCTTCCAATGGCCCAAGAAAATTACACTTATCCTACAATAAACTGCAATTTACTTAACATTTGCAAGAATTATCTTAACTAAGTAACAGCAGTAGTTACCTCTTGCTTATCAGATCATCTGACTGGCAGTTACATCTGATAAATAATTGAGAAAATAATCAGCTAAGAAATGGATTATCAGGACTTCCCTGGTGGTCCAGTGGGTAAGACTCTGTGCTCCCAATACAGGGGGCCTGGGTTCAATCCCTGGTCAGGGAACTAGATCCCGCATGCATGCTGCAACGAAGATCCTGCAGCTAAGACCTGGTGCAGCCAAAATAAATAAGTACTAAAAATACTAGCCTAAGCTTTAAAAAAAAAAGAAAGAAAGAAATGGATTATCATTCAGTAGTGTACTTCAATGACAATACCTAAATAGGGTAAATCAGAAACCCTGATTGAATAGGGAGTTATAAAAGACATTTTCTGAACAACTGGGGAAATCTGAATGTGGATTTATATCAGATTTTTACTGACATTATACATTATATTTTAAATAATTATTCACTTTCCTAGGTGTAATAATGTTATTGTGGCTGTTTGTAAGAGAAGCTTTTTGTTGTAAAGAGACACTTGCTAAGGAAATATTTAGGCATAAATGTCAAGATGTTTGCATTTTACTTTCAAATCATTTAGCCACAGAAGATAATGTGTGGAGTATATACAGAAAAAAGTCAATGTAGGGCTTCCCTGGTGGCGCAGTGGTTGAGAGTCCGCCTGCCGACGCAGGGGACACAGGTTCGTGCCCTGGTCCGGGAAGATCCCACATGCCGCAGAGCAGCTGGGCCCGTGAGCCACAGCCGCTGAGCCCGCGCGTCCGGAGCCTGTGCTCCGCAACGAGAGAGACCACAACAGTGAGAGGCCCGCGTACAGCAAAAAAAAAAAAAAAGTCTATGTGGCAAAATATTAAGTAGTAACTCTACTTAAAAGGTACACATTATACTCTTTCAGATTTTATAGATTTGAAAAAACTTTTTAATTGGAGGAAAGCAAACAGAAAAAAGAATTAAAACTGCAAAAGGACAGAGAAACAATAAACACCAGGCAAGCATAAGACCGTATGGCAGGACTTCCCTGGTGGCGCAGTGGTTAAGAATCCACCTGCCAGTGCAGGGGACACAGGTTCAATCCCTGCTCCAGGAAGATCCCACATGCTGGGCAGCAACTAAGCCCCTATGCCACAACTACTGAGCCTGTGCTCTAGAGACCGTGAACCACAACTACGGAGCCCACATGCCACAATTACTGAAGTCCACACACCTAGAGCCTGTGCTCCGCAACAAGAGAAACCACCGCAATGAGAAGCCCGCACACTGCAATGAGGAGTAACCCCTAGCTCACTGCAACTAGAGAAAGCCTGCATGCAGCAACAAAGACCCAATGCAGCCAAAAATAAATAATTTTTTTTAAAAAAGGTATGGCAGAAATATATCCAAAACATCCATAATTACCATAAACATGAATGGTCTCCATGCTCCAGTTAAAAGAGCAGTTGGCAGCCTGTATTGAAAAGCAAAATCCAGCCGTGTGGTGTTCATAAAAGATCTACCTAAAACATCCCACTAGAATTGGCTAAAACTAAAAATTAAATCACTACCAAATGTTAGCAAGGATGTGGAGCTCTTACCCATTCAGTCTTGAGAATTAAGTTCTAATGTCTATAGTATCCATTGTATGTACAAATTAAATTCTTCTGTAGGTGTCTAGAATGATACTAGCTATGGAACATCCTCAAGAGAATTGAGAAAATAGTCACTCAACTTTCTGTGTTCTGTGGTTCAAATGTGGTGCCTAATTAAGAACGACTGTACAATACTATGGAAAATAGTTTGGGATTACCTAGTGAAGTTACACACACCCCACACACAACCCAAAAATTCCACTCTCAGTTATACATAGTCTCAGCAAATTAGTTTACTGTACTTGTTTTGAGGTGGGGTGCAAATGTTCACAAGGGGAACGAGTATAATTTGTAATTGCAAAAAACTGGAAATGAAACGAACATCCATCACAATAGAACAAGATGTGGCATATCCTTACAATGGAATACCACACTACTGAAAATGATGGAGAGTTGTAAGAATCAATGTGGATGAATCTAAAACATACAAAAGAAGTATCAGAAAATCATACAATCCCATTTAGATCAAGATTGAAAACGGGAAATACTAAACTATATATTGTTTATGGATACATACCAAGTAAACATTATTTTAAAAAATAATAAGGTCAAAATATAGGGTAATGATAACCCCTGGGGAAGAGAAAAAGTAACATCTAGGAGATGGGGATTGTAGGTAGCATTAATGTTCCATTTCTTGGTTGGTCATTTAACTAGTTTTTGAAAACTCCACACGTGTTTTTCTACCTCATATACCTCCTGGTGTGTATTCTATATTTTTCAATAAAAAATCAGTAAGTATGCAAAGTACAATCTCATTTTTTAAAAGGTATATACTTCACGTAGGGAAAAAAAGGATTTATACTAAAATGTTAAAACCATTTTAAGTCTTTTTTTTTCAAATTTTCTAAAACGTATTTTCTTATGTAAAATAGTGCCAGCCAGCCTGACTCAAAAACCAACTTTAAAATGGAAATTTGTAAATTAACTTGAAAAAAGAGAGGGAGAGGAACTGGTTTGGTATAGAAAACAACTTAAAGTGAGGCTTGTCAATCAATCCTAAAGCCAGTCACTTGTTTCCCAGACCCTATTTCAGTTAAACTTGTATTTTTTAAGCCCACTTATTCCCTTGCTTATGATCTGACAATGACAAACATTATATTATCAAATGAAAAATCCCACCCTTCAAAGAGCACACATTCCAGCTGCATAGACATGCACAATACAGGCAGCACTATACACCTTCCCCAAGCCCATGAGATTGCAAAGGTATTTCAGGTTTTCATCTGCTCGCTTGGGAAGCAGCATGTTATGGTGGCAAAGAAAGTCAGAAGGAATACAACCTCCTCACTTGAGACTTGAGTGTTTTTGTAGGGGGGTGAAGGAACAGAAGAAGGCAACAAAAAAAAAAAAGAGAGAGAGAGAGAAAGAGAAAACAAGGGAAAGAGAGAAATAAGAGGAAAACAGAAAGGAGGATGGGAATGGAAAGAATTAAAGAAGGCACAGAGAGAAAGACATTAATAAAGAGAAGCAACTCTGAGCTTCCAAAAGTCTTCATAGGTATATCTAGGACTGATTTGATGAGAAGATTAAGACAGGTAAAAATTTTTGAGTAAATATTAAAGCACTGAAGTATTTTGGGGGGAATTCCCTGGCAGTCCAGTGGTTAGGATTTCACACTTCCACTGCAGAAGGCACATGTTCGATCCCCGATCGGGGAACTAAGATCCCACAGGCTGTGACACGGCCAAATAAAGTATTACTGGCTTGTGTATGTACAACATAATTTTAAATGAGTAAGTTCCTATGTGACATCTTACTTAAAAAGTTAATTATAACACAAGAAACAAAGTTACAGCAACAGGTCTAAATCCAAATGAAATTCTCTAGTCTACAAATCCTTGAAAATATTCTCATAATGAAATTTCTGACCTAATCAAATATACGTTCTTTTATTTTTAGAGTTCCAAACGAAGAAAAACAAGCAATACATTCCTAACAATCTTTAAAAGTAGAGCATTGCCTAGTCTAAAATGAAACACCTATTCCTTAGTCCAAGCCCTGTTTCATAAATTAATTCCAAATAGTTAACTGGGTTCCAATTTAATTGAGCTCATAACTCCAGTATGAAAATGAGTTTTCTGAAAATTGAAACTCACTGTAGTACACATGCCATGTCAGCCAGAAATTCACGAACCTGTTCTTCAATACCTAGGCCAAGAATTTTCACAACTAAAATAATGGGACTTCCCTGGTGGTGCAGTGGTTAAGAATCCGCCTGCCAATGCAGGGGACACAGGTTCGAGCCCTGGTCCAGGAAGATCCCACATGCCGCGAAGCAACTAAGCCTGTGTGCCACAACTACTGAGCCTGCACTCTAGAGCCCGCGAGCCACAACTACTGAGCCCACTCGCCTAGAGCCCGTGCTCCACAACAAGAGAAGCCACCACAATAAGAAGCCTGCTCACCGCAACAAAGAGTAGCCCCTGCTCACCACAACTAGAGAAAGCCCGCTGCAGCAACGAAGACCCAACGCAGACAAAAATAAATAAATATTTTTTTAAAAAAACTAAAATAACTTTCTTTAAAAAGCACAGGAGGCACATCTTTGAAAGAAACACTGTCAAGAAAACAAACAAACAAACAAAAGGTAGGAGGGGGACTTCCCTGGCGGTCCAGTGGTTAAGACTCTGCGCTTCCACAGCAGGGGGTGCAGGTTTGATCCCTGGTGTGGGAACTAAGATCCCACATGCTGCGCGACATGGCCAAAAAATAAAATAAATTTTTAAAAAAAAGAATAGGAAATTTCAGCATACAAAGTTTGCATTATAATTGTCAAAACAAACCCAACTAATTTGGTCTTTGGACTTAAAAAAGAAAAAGGACTCCACCCCTAAACACTTATTTGATAGTTGGATCAAAAATATTTCAAAACCTACCACAGGCTTCCAAGTGATATTTCCTGTCTTTGCCTTACTTCAAGTTATATCTCCACTCTCCTTTTGGGGGAAAAAAAGAGAAAACAGCTGCTTCTAAGCTCTATCAGAGATCCACCATCTCACCAGTCAACACGACAGTGCCACACTATTTAGCTTTTAAAGGACACTCCATATACTCAAATTAACAACTAAGAGCTAACTGATAATTGCTGACTTACCGGTTGCCTCACAAGATAGATTTGTTTAAAAGCAAAGGAACTTCACAGTCTGTGAATTCATGCAGACCATTTCTTTTGAGCAGGCATTAATCCTTTATAATACACTTACCCCCCCCAAAAAAAGTGTCTTATAACAACAACAACAAAATCTTAACAGTTAAGTTGTCATTAAAAAAAAAAGGACTGAGGAATCAACACTTCAAAAGTAAAGGCTTCACTTCAGACCAGTTCAAACCTTCAAGACTGATTTATACTCTCTATGTGTAGTTTGTACTCAAGAGAGTAGAGAGAGCAACCAGTTCCCATCAAAACACAGATACTGAAATAAACCCATTCTCCTCCATGTTCTCCTACCATTTCTCACCAAACAATAAAAGTCACTCAGGCTAATACCAAGAGACACTCCTAGTGAGCACTGCACAGGCTGCACCAGTTAACGAGGAAAGGGAAGCAGAGGTGTTAACTGTTGTTTCAGCCTGGTTCTAAAGGCAGCTCCATGTGACTACTGCTGGTCCCTCCCACATTTAAAGAGAGAGGCCAGAGGAAACCAGAGCAGCAGGAAATAGGCAGGAGGGGCAACTACCACAACCCTTTCCCATGGCCTCATTCCCATGGCACCACTTCCAGTCATATTTCAATCACAACAAAAACCTGCCTTCTCTCAATCGTTTTAATTATCTAAGGTCAGAAACAACAAGGAAGCAGGTGGAGAAAATCAGAGCTGTGGGAAGCAAGAGGACAGGGGCGGGGGAAAAATCTCACCACACATGTGAACTAGCCTTAAGGAGGAAAAACCAGGAGGAACACATTGCAAGCGAGCAGAAACGTAGTGTGGGGAGAACTAATCACTTCTGCCTAATGATAAATGAAGGCTCCACAGCAATGGGAGGATAGCCCTAACCAAGGGGCTCTGCAGGTAGGTAAGAGACGCTGGTGCACTGGAAGACCCTACCATCTCCGGAGAGTGGAATTTATTCCCTTTCCTGAGACAGACAACACCCGAGTCACCCAATCCCCAGGATATAGGAGAGCTTAGGTATTATGTTCACCTTCCTTCCACTTTTGTTAGACAAACTGACACTAAAAATTACGAATGTACAATTCATGGTGAAAAGTGAGGAACACACTAACTACTGACATACCCCTTGGTTTAAAAAATTACTATCATAATCGAAGAGAAAATATAAAATAACTGGGTTCACCCGAAAAGTGAATTATATGCCCTTCAAATAAAAGATGATCTTTGGATATCTTATGGAGACCTCAGCTCTCAATTGTTAGGGCACAGAAGAGCAGAAGAAAGTAAGCCTATATACTGGTGGAGACACCTCGGATACAAGTAGAAACAATATCCAACAGAGGTGGAAGTAAACTACAGGGCTATGTCAAACAGGAAATAACAGGAATAATGATGGAATCAACTCCTAGAGAGAACAAGGATAAACGAAGACCAGAGTGGTGAGTTTAGTGATGGCACCTGAAATGCCTGGACAACTAATTAGATTGAAAATCCAGGGGAAAAGGTGGGAAAGCAGAGTGGGAAAGCGATTCCACGGCAAAGAAAACTGAGATGCAATGCACCAATTAAAAAATAACATTTGGAATAATGTTATAAAAGAGAGCGCTTTAATTACAAAGCCCCTCTCAAACCTACGCTAAAGAACAACTGTGACACAGCCAGACTACAGAAACTAGGACTGAGGAGGAAAACTGAGTCCCAAGTGTCCGACACCAAAGCCTTCCAGAATGAGGAGAAACAGAACTGAACTTTGCCTCCGGGTAGCCGGGAAAGGCTAGAGAGTGTAGAAGTTGGGCTCTGAGATGTGCAGTCCCAGGACTAGAGACAGGCGTGAAAGCGGAAAGGTGGTCAGCGACAGCGTGGCGCGGGAGCGCGAGCGGACAGGCAGGGAGGGACAACGGTGGGAGAGAAAACCACACCCTCCAGGGCAGAAACCCGACGTGGGGGAGGCGTAGGCGCCCCCTGGGGCTGGGTGGAGCCGGGCCGCCAAGGATCCGGGTAGGCAGGAAGGAGCACAGGACAACCCGCGGGGGAGAGGAAGGACAGCACCCAGGCCTGGGCAAACTGAGGACGCACGAAGCCGGCGAGGGAAGCTCGGCCAGACCTCACGGTGGGCGCTGGGGCAGTATGAAGGAGTCTGGAGGAAAGAAGAGCTGAACCCAGGACTACGAAGCGCAAGCTGCAGCGCTCAGCGACCTGGAACGGGAAAGGAGAGAGAGAGAGGGTGGCAATTACCGCAGCTGCTCTCGCTGAACTCGGGACCCACCGCCGCCGCCGCCGCCGTTCGTTACCTGCCAATGTGCCTCTTACAAAGCGGCGGCGGCGGCAGAGGCGGTCCGACCTGTCACGTGACCTCCACGTCACGCGCGAAGGAGGGGCCGCTGCACTTAGCTCGCTGCGGCGGCTCATCAGCCCGCCCACAGAGCGCGTCGCTTCCTTTAGCCGCCCCCGACGCCCACCAGGCGAGGCCAACAGCTCCGAGGTGGGGCGGGGAGGTACGCGGATGGAGCCAACAAGGGAGATTTAACGGAGTTTCTCATACTCGGAGTTATCAGGAACGTACTACCCACAGCATCCAGGATGCCCACAAGAGCAGCGTTGTCGCTCTGTGATGACCTCTCAAGGCACCGCAGGTCACTCCCCTGCGGCCGCTTTCCCCCCGTCACGTGATATAGTTCAACCACTCGAGACGACCCTAGCCTCCCAAACGTTGTGCGAGGGGGCCACGACTCCCAACCTGCTGCACAGCAAAGGCACCCACCACCACATCCTTTCCCTCCCGTGTTCGTAGATGGTGCGCCTGTGACTTCGGACCGACGGAAGGCCGAGACGGAAAGTGGACAGGGTTAGCATCTGAGACTAATAACCGTGGATACCGCCAGGTGGCTGAGCGTGGTTCCTACTGGGAGATGTAGTCCCGGCGGGGGCGTGGGGTTCCGCTACCACGTTGCCGGGCCCACGCTCCGCCCCGCCCTCCTGCGCGGGAAAATGCCAACGGCCCGCGAAGGTTGCCGCGGCACCCACCTGGCTTCAAGCAGCACCTCCACTGGGCGGGAGGAGCCTCGCAGCGTCGGCCCTGTTGAATGTGGGCTCGAATTCTGCACCCCCAAGCCCCTTATGCCTGAAAACACATTTATTGAAAGCCCACTCGTTGTCGGTCGTTTATACAACCACTGTTATTAAATCACAGAATCAACTCTTTGAAGAAGGGATTGTCCCGGTTTTAAGCGTAGGGAAATCATTCGGTTTGCTGGCTGAAGAGACCCAAACCAGGTTTTCTATCTCCAAACAATGAATAACCCGCCTTGCAAAATGACTTCACCTGTTTTAACTCCAGGAATTAGGCATAAAAAGAAGATAATGGTTTATAATTGTAGCATAGTATTTTAGAGTTTAAAGTATTTTCTCATTTACTGGCCTATTTGATCCTCAAAGGCAGTATCTGAGACTGGTTAGACACACGAACTTTGGAGTCCACCAGGCCTTAACCTCAATTCGAGCTTTTCTTTGTGATAACACCACTTCACCTGCTTGTGAAATTAAATGAGATTACGTGAACTACCACTTTGGCACAGAATAAACCTTCAGTAAGTATTAGTAATTATTTTCACACCCTGTACGCATCCTTTGGGCACAACATGTCTAAGTAAAGGTGAGAAGGGAGTTAGCATATAGTGAGTGATCTTTGTGTAGGGCACTATGCTAATTACTAACTTGCTAGTTTCAATAATAGACTAGTTACAGATTAAATTACTTGATGAAAAACACTTGAAACCTTAATGTCCTGCTCAGTTCAGGGGAAGCCTTTGTTATTCATCTGCATTGATCAAAGAATGCTCAGGCTGTGCCTTTAACAAACAACTTATTATCATGACCATTCATGTGTAGATGTATCTTATCTCTCTTTTGACAGTAAGCTAGGATTTTGTCTGGTCAATTCAGTCTTTCTCCTTTTTGTATTCCTGCCCTACCGAAAGGTGTGGGAGAGTCTAAGATGAAAATTACCCTTGAGAAGCAAAGACTTGATGAAAAGAGCATAAGAAAACACTTCCAAAAGGATGTATACAAACCTGATAACAGCTGTATCTGAGAAGTGGGAAAGAGGGTTGTGATTGAGGGTGCTAGTCAAATCTATAATGTTTTAATTTTCTACACGGAGTAGTACTGGTGTTTTAATTAAAGATTAACTTTTAAGAAAAGAGAGACCAGGGACTTCCCTGGTGGCACAGTGGTTAAGAATCCACCTGCCAATGCAGGGGACACAGGTTCAATCCCTGGTTCAGGAAGATCCCACGTGCCGCGGAGCAACTAAACCCGTGCACCACAACTACTGAGCCTGCACTCTAGAGCCCACGAGCCACAACTACCGAGCACAAGTGCCACAACTACTGAAACCCGCATGCCTAGAGCCCGTGCTCCGCAACAAAAGAAGTCACGCAATGAAAAGCACATTCACCGCAAGGAAGAGTAGGCCCCTCTCACCACAGCTAGAGAAAGCCTGCACGCAACAACGAAGACCCAACGCAGCCAAAAATAAATAAATTTATTTTAAAAAGAGAGAGACCAGAGACCATGTGTTAGCTTGTACATGCTATGTTACCTCTCCAGACCTCAATTTCCTCTCGTTAATATATTTTAAAACATCTGTCTGGCTTCCCTGGTGGGGCAGTGGTTAAGAATCTGCCTGCCAATGCAGGGGACACGGGTTCAATCCCTGGTCCGAGAAGATCCCACATGCCGCAGAGCAACTAAACCTGTGTGCCACAACTACTGATGCCACAACTACTGAAGCCCACGCGCCTAGAGCCCATGCTCTGCAACAAGAGAAGCCACCGCAAATGAGAAGCCCGTGTACCCCAACAAAGAGTAGCCTCTGCTCACCACATCTAGAGAAAGCCCACGCACAGCAACGAAAACCTAACACAGACCTAAATAAATATTTTTTTAATCTGTCTTTCTATTCCAGGCTTACTGCACTGGGTGCTTTCACTAAATTATCATTCATCAAGGAGGAAGTCCTACCTAAGGCCTAGGATCAGTGGGAAAAATAAGGGCGTCAAAGTCCTAAAACCTCACTGAATAAAGTTATTACCACCTGGATGCAATAGAACTATCCTCTCAAAATAATCTCTCCTAAGGGATATTACTACCACCCTGTTCTACCCAGCCTGACTGAGACATCGACTCTGAAACTAATTTCACATCCTGTAACTGCAAAGAACATCACCATCCCTTTCACTAGTTTTTGTTTAATTGCTCTTGGCTGGACTGAAGTGAGAGCATTTTAATGTGATGGAAAATACACTGGAGAAATTCTCAGAAGCCTGGGTTTTTTATTTTCAAGTCTGTACCTAAGGTAGGTGAGTGAAATCAGTCATTTTTAAATGAGGCCCATTTCAGAAAAAGTCAGTAATAGGTGGCTGACATTTAGGAAGGTAGAATCAAAGTGTATAAATTCCAAAGAATTGTCACAACCTAGATAAAGCTAATCACAATTCAAACCTAATCTACTCACTTACAGTAAAATAAATGGTCATAATCAAATACAGTATACCCTGCATGAAGAATGTGATAACTCGGAAAGAATGGTCTATATAGAATCTTTAAAAAAAAAAAAAACCTTAAGCAAAAATGTACACCATGCAGGGAAAAGGGTGACCTGACCGGCACATGGAATATTTTGGTCCCTTTGGCAGATCTCTGCATTTGGCAGATAGAAATGGGGGCTCCATGCCTATTAGTCATAAAGATACCCTGAAATTTCCATGTCACCAACAACCTTCTGATTAAAATTTGGCCTCTCATGAAGATTTTTCCACAAGAGATGTGAATGTGTTATTAACCAGAGGACCATATGCTGTTTGTTTGGCTGAAAATTAGTACAGTGACAATGACAATTTACAATATACCGTCAGTTTCTGAGGTATGTTTATGCCCAGAGCCAGCTAAGCTGTGTGGGAATGCTGACCTTTGAAAGTAGTAAACAAACAGTTAATGTGTGAATGAGTCTGTGTGAGACCTGTGTGGAATAGCCAAAAAGACTCCCTGGTAACACTGTTGTGCCTTGTTTCTTTAAACCCAGTTCCTGGGCTTCCCTGGTGGCGCAGTGGTTGAGAATCTGCCTGCCAATTAAGAGGACACGGGTTCCAGCCCTGGTCTGGGAAGGTCCCACATGCCGCGGAGCAACTAGGCCCGTGAGCCACACTACTGAGCCTGTGCGTCTGGAGTTTATGCTCTGCAACAAGAGAGGCCGCGACAGTGAGAGGCCTGCGCACCGCGATGAAGAGTGGCCCCGGCTCTCCGCTGCTAGAGAAAGCCCTCGCACAGAAACGAAGACCCAACACAGCCAAAAATAAATAAATAAATAAATAAAATTAAAAGTCCAGTTCCTTCCTAACTCTACTAATTAATAACTTGTCCTTTCTAAACTTGTTTCTTCATCTATATAAAGGAGCTAAATTCTGCTTACTTTATAATGCATTGTCAGGTTCATACAAGATACTGCCTATGAAAGTCCTCAGAAAATAATTGGACCATAAGAATTGTAAGAAACGGACTTCCCTGGTGGCACAGTGGTTAAGAATCCGCCTGCCAATGCAGGGAACACGGGTTCGAGCCCTGGTCCGGGAAGATCCCACATGCCGTGGAGCAACTAAGCCCGTGTGCCGCAACTACTGAGCCTGTGCTCTAGAGCCCATAAACCACGACTACTGAGCCTGCGTGCCACAACTACTGAAGCCTGCGCGCGTGGAGCCCGTGCTCTGCAACAAGAGAAGCCACCGTAATGAGAAACCCGTGCACCACAATTAAGAGTAGCCCCCGTTCACTGCAACTAGAGAAAGCCCACGCGCAGCAATGAAGACCCAATGCGGCCAAAACTAAATAAATAAAAAGAAAAAAACAGTAAGTAGTGAGATGGGACTTCCCTTGTGGTCCAGTGGGTAAGACTCCGAGCTCCAGTGCAGGGGACCTGGGTTCGATCCCTGGTTGGGGAACTAGATCCTGCATTCATGCCACAACTAAGAAGTCTGCATGCCACAACTAAAAAAAAAAAAAAGGATCCCCCATGCGGCAACGAAGATCCTGCCTGGGGCAACTGAGACCCGGCGCAGCCAAATAAATAAATAAATATTAAAAAAAAAAAAGTAAGTAGTGAGACAATTTATTACCAATCTGGGGGAAAGATTTAGAGCTACACTGCACTCTGTACCAAAATGGTTTAAAGATAAGGCGGTAAATATTTATTGTCTTCAGGCACAGTGCTATATATATGTCCATCCTATTTTTATCCCAATTACAAATAT